GGTAAAATAGTGCCATGTTGCAAACTTACGTAAATACAACTATCCTGAGACCAAAAAATATAAGAAAGGATATGAGCGCATTTATTGATTCTCAGGTGACATTGCTGCTGCACAAGGTCAAACATAGAGACACACCGCCCTCAACTGGCGAATATTACATCCAATCTCCATTAGACATTTACCATTGTATGCAGTGACAATTTTTACCGTAGGGAAATGGTTTTCAAGGGCACTTTGTTCTTTAAAAAGAGGGAACTGTATAAAACCACAGTATGTCTTTCATTTATGTCAAAGACTGCAACTTAACTAAGATTAATCTGAACAAGAATGGATGCCAATTATGCAATAAAATGTGGGTGTTGTTGGGAGTGTTCATGTTTAGTGTTTTCAAGGCTAAATTTTAATAAAAAAATAAAAATAATTCAACACCACTCACTTCTGAAACAGCAAATACAGAGCAAACTGGCAGCTATAGGTCACTAAGATGTCTGTGAAAGGACTAAACTCACACAAAATTAATGAAATAATACATACTGAAATACATACAATGTGAAAGATCAAATCTTTCCTAGTTTACTCTGAAGCCAGAATTCCAGAATAAGATACAGTTATCCAAAAAATATGAGGATCTGAATATTGTCCACACAATATGAAAATAAAAGGTGAGATATCAAGGGTAAAGAGATTATCTGAGAAAATCATTCTCAGAAAATCATTATATCAATACATTACCGCTCAAAAGTTCAGGGATTAGTTCAGGGTCTTATTGTTTTTGAAAGAAGGTCCTTATGAAATCAAGCATACAGTAAACCTGTAATACTGTGAAATATTAACATTCCAAGTAACTATTTTCAATTTTAATATATACTTTAAAATGCTATTTATTGCTGTGATGGCAAAGCTGAATTTTCAGCAGCCATTATTTCATTATTTTCAGTTTCACATGATCCTTAAAGGTGGGGTATGTATTTTTTTTTAAACACTTTAGAAAGCTGAGTAGGGCTGAGTACCAAAACAAACTTGTAGCCAATCAGCACTAAGGGGTGTGACTACTGATGTGACTCATGATGTGGAGGAGAGAGCGCTCAGTGCACAGGAGGATGGACATTAGCCGAGCCGAGCGAAGAAAGAAAGATAGAGATGGCGGATAAAAAACAAAAGACGATAACGTCTGTGGAACAAAAGAAGGCTTACGATAAAGCAAGAAGTAGGACCCATGTAAATATCGGATCAGCTTTCCAGTGCTGGAGAGAACTCAAGGAGCGGAAGGCCTGCGATCGGATGCCGAGGTTGCTTTGTTTCTTCTTGATAGGCGAGTAACACCGTGTCTACACCAGACACGACAGTTGTCGCGCTGCGCTGCAACAGCTAAAGTCTGTCTACTCTGGACGCGATAAAGCGACCGCTGAAAATTATTTTAAATTTGTGTCAATATGTCATAAATAGAACGCAGCAGCAGTTTTCTGTTTACAAATTTGTCGTGTCACACCGCATCCAGTGTAGACAGCATCACGGATTATAATCTATAGTTCTATAGTATTTTGACGTGCCGCACTGCTCGCGTCTTAGTGCCATGTTGCAAACTTACGTAAATACAACTATCCTGAGACCAAAAAATATAAGAAAGGATATGAGCGCATTTATTGATTCTCAGGTGACATTGCTGCTGCACAAGGTCAAACATAGAGACACACCGCCCTCAACTGGCGAATATTACATCCAATCTCCATTAGACATTTACCATTGTATGCAGTGACAATTTTTACCGTAGGGAAATGGTTTTCAAGGGCACTTTGTTCTTTAAAAAGAGGGAACTGTATAAAACCACAGTATGTCTTTCATTTATGTCAAAGACTGCAACTTAACTAAGATTAATCTGAACAAGAATGGATGCCAATTATGCAATAAAATGTGGGTGTTGTTGGGAGTGTTCATGTTTAGTGTTTTCAAGGCTAAATTTTAATAAAAAAATAAAAATAATTCAACACCACTCACTTCTGAAACAGCAAATACAGAGCAAACTGGCAGCTATAGGTCACTAAGATGTCTGTGAAAGGACTAAACTCACACAAAATTAATGAAATAATACATACTGAAATACATACAATGTGAAAGATCAAATCTTTCCTAGTTTACTCTGAAGCCAGAATTCCAGAATAAGATACAGTTATCCAAAAAATATGAGGATCTGAATATTGTCCACACAATATGAAAATAAAAGGTGAGATATCAAGGGTAAAGAGATTATCTGAGAAAATCATTCTCAGAAAATCATTATATCAATACACAAAAGTTCAGAAGTTCAGGGATTAGTTCAGGGTCTTATTGTTTTTGAAAGAAGGTCCTTATGAAATCAAGCATACAGTAATACTGTGAAACTGTGAAATATTAACATTCCAAGTAACTATTTTCAATTTTAATATATACTTTAAAATGCTATTTATTGCTGTGATGGCAAAGCTGAATTTTCAGCAGCCATTATTTCATTATTTTCAGTTTCACATGATCCTTAAAGGTGGGGTATGTATTTTTTTTTAAACACTTTAGAAAGCTGAGTAGGGCTGAGTACCAAAACAAACTTGTAGCCAATCAGCACTAAGGGGTGTGACTACTGATGTGACTCATGATGTGGAGGAGAGAGCGCTCAGTGCACAGGAGGATGGACATTAGCCGAGCCGAGCGAAGAAAGAAAGATAGAGATGGCGGATAAAAAACAAAAGACGATAACGTCTGTGGAACAAAAGAAGGCTTACGATAAAGCAAGAAGTAGGACCCATGTAAATATCGGATCAGCTTTCCAGTGCTGGAGAGAACTCAAGGAGCGGAAGGCCTGCGATCGGATGCCGAGGTTGCTTTGTTTCTTCTTGATAGGCGAGTAACACCGTGTCTACACCAGACACGACAGTTGTCGCGCTGCGCTGCAACAGCTAAAGTCTGTCTACTCTGGACGCGATAAAGCGACCGCTGAAAATTATTTTAAATTTGTGTCAATATGTCATAAATAGAACGCAGCAGCAGTTTTCTGTTTACAAATTTGTCGTGTCACACCGCATCCAGTGTAGACAGCATCACGGATTATAATCTATAGTTCTATAGTATTTTGACGTGCCGCACTGCTCGCGTCTGGTGTAGACATGGTGTAACATTGGTTTTGCTTTGTTTCACAGAACTAATCGTTGCCTGGGTTGCGTACATATGTGTGGGGCGGAGCTGTCAAAATAGGGGTGAGACCCTTTTGGGGTAGGGGCATGTTGGTTTTGGTGATTTGAAATATCAACATTGGCTGCCAGAAATCACTTACCCCACCTTTAAGAAATCATTACAATATGCTGACTTAGTGTTCTATAAGCATTTCTTACTATTATCAACGTTGAAAACACTTGTACTGCTTAATATTTTTGTTGAAACCATTATATGTTTTTATGCTGCTTTGATGAATTGAAAGTTCAAAAGAACTGAATTTATTTTAAACAGGTAAACCTCTTCAGTTTCACTTCTGATTAGTTTAATACATCTAATTTTTTAAATCTTACTAACACCAAACTTTTGACTGGAAGTGTACATAATTTCAAAATGATTTGAACATTCAGACTTGCTGACATATTTAGCAATTTAGCAATGTGCCTGTTAATTTCTACTCTCACCTGTCTCTGGGCACATCCAGAGCTGTATTGTAATCAGGAGGTCCTCCAGGAAGCATATTGAACAGCAGGTGGTTCATGCCTTTGTCCCACCTAAAATCGTATCAATACATTTATGTAGCTTGCATAACAGTGAGTTATGACTTCAGAAATACAGAGCATATGTTTCTAATGCTAAAATATGAGTTATATAACAGCTTAGAAGAGTGCCAGAAGGGACACTGTAAAAGAGAAAGTGGAGAGCTGCCAGTGTAACAAAAAAACAATAAAGGAACCAGTAAAGCCGAGGTAGGCAAAGATAATTAGCAAATACTGAAAGATATATATCTACCTGGGCAGCATGGCCAATGCCTGAGCGGTTTCACGAATCCGCAGAGAGTTCTGATTCAACACATCAATGGAGGGTATGAACAGACATGCTCTGCTCACATCATCAGTGTAAAAATCACTGTCCGAGATGGCGCTCAGCAGGTCATTGTATTCTCGAGACAGGCCAGTGCTGCTGATAGGCACTCCTACTTCATCCACAAATCGCTGAAGAGGATAGATGTACACCTGTGTACAAACACACACACACACACACACACACCATTAATAGATCAAAATCGCCCTGTAATGACATCCAACCTAATAAACCTAAATCAATAACACAATACTATCTCTCTTTGCATCACCTTGATTTTATTCTTGGGATTATATCCACAGCGATACACATCAAAGCAAGTGTGCATTCGACAGCTCAGGTCACCTCTCTCAGGAATAGGGCTGCTCATAGGTATCCTGACCAAAGGAGCATCATGCACACTACGACGGTCCAGACTCCATTCTGCGGAGGATTCAATGGAGTGAGGCCAGAACTGGAACATCCCTGTTGCGATCAAACCCAGTAAGACCACAGAGAAGATAACTACAAAATCATGAACTAACCTTTACTGTATCCAGTTCACTGCCTCAAATCTCAGCACGCCTCAACCATAATCTCATTTGTTGGTCCAGTATGCTGCAAAGGCTGATATTGAAATGTTTGACTGAATTTTGTTTATTATCCCACAATACATTCCTTATGCTAATGCTAAAGGGACAGCTGACAGGAAAGAACTTAGTCTCTCCTTCATGCGTAGTTCCATCAGTTTTTCTTGTAATTCGGGTCGCGTGCGCCATCTGCTGTAGAGGGAGAAATAATGTGAGGCATAGGCTGTGGCTTCAAACCTAGTAAGCCGCCTACCTAGACAGCATTTTTAGGTGTTAATGCCACGTTCCGTATGTGTCTAGCTAGCTAGCTCACTAGTTATTTTAAACGCAGCCACTAACAACAGCTATCAGTTCGCCGTTTCAGCCACCATTTTTTCTTATGGCGTAAATAACTGTAAACGGTGTTATTGAGCATTAGTTAGGGTATTAGAGCAATCTTTTCTTTATGCCTGGTGTTTTTAGGCAAGAAACAGTCTTCTGGGTCCTGTTCTTCGACAATGGTTTAACAAAGCCCGGATTAGTTCTCATACCCCGGATTGACCTAGCTCGATCTGAAATGGAGTTTTTCCGGCTCTTCTAACACATATCTCGGATTTACATATCTAGCTAATAAAGACAGCTGACCGTTCATGTGAGAATTTATAAGTCTGTGTAGACTAGCCTAATCACAGCATGGCTAAACAGCGGGCTGCATATTTCAGCGCTGCTGAATTGCAACTTTTAATGGAAGGATATGAGGAAGTTAAACATTTAATAAAGACCAAAGGGAATACTATAGCGGCTGCAAAAGTCCGTCAGGATGCGTGGCGAAAAATAGCTGCCAAATTAAATGCGTAAGTATATCTATCATTTAATTAGTCTGGGAGAGCACTAAATACGCAATATACATGACACCTGTGCTGACCAAATAGTGTATGTGTATTATGTTTTGGCTACAGTCTTATTCTGCTGTTGGTCACGCTTACAATTACAGATCCAACCCTATGGGACCTAGAAGAACGTGGCAACAAGTGAAGACGAAATACAAAAATATCGTTCAAAGTGGTAGGTCATGGTGTTTTTTTTTAGTGGGTTTGATGCCCTTTATTTTTGTTAGGGACTGCCCAATATAATGACATTATCCCTTTTTTTTACTCACTTTTAGAGTAATGTCAGCTGTATATATTTCAGAATTTTAAATGTATAACTATGATGATAACACACAACAGATGTTTTATCTTATTTATAGTAATTAATTTGTAGTAATTTTACACCTAAAATACAAACTGTTCTTGAAAGCGTGTACAGTGCAACACTTTTTTTTGTTTATTATTATTATTGTTCTTGTTATAAAGCAGAGTCAAAGTGTAATCAAACCTTTCTCTTGTACGTTTTAGACTTTTTTTTTGTGACCGTTTCCTCAGACCCTTAGCACCCCCTTGTGGCCCCCTTGGGCCCAGTTTGAAAACCGCTGGAACCCAGAATTTTTCATTTGAATTTTGAAAACTCAGTGTTTCGAATTGAATAACTTGAAGGTTTAACATAATTTAGCTAACAAGAGAAGGGCTGCACTGAAGAAGATGGGACTAGTCCCAACAAAAGAGGAGTACATAGATGAAGAGGAGCTGCCCCCTGAGAACAATGAGGAGGGTCCTATCATAGCGAGCATAGTTGGTGGCTGCTCCTCTGATCCAGGAGATACAGCTGGCTGCAGCAGTTATGTCAAAGGTATGTGCACCACATGCTATATTTGTCTCTACAAATCGATACTGCAGTAAATATGCATAATTCATATCACATCATTTCAGTGACTGAACATGGACTGGCCCTACTTCAGCCACCTGTGTTATCAGACGAAGAGCTGGACTCTGTAAGTTTACATCTCTGTTTATTTTCATTTTTAATGGGATATCAATGATCATAGTATTAAATAAACAATATCATATTTAAATACACAGTAAATGCTTAGAAAAAAATATGTACAAATTCAAACAAGTTGAATTAATATTTAATAAATTCATTCTTTTAATGCTTTCTTTTTAAAGGAACCTGTGGAAGATGTTAAGACACTATACAAGAAGTATCTCAAAATAGAGATCTCAAACAGAAAGCAAGAAATGGCATACAGAGCTTTAAAAATGCGCAAAGTGGAGAAAGAAATTCAGCTACTTGACAGGAAATTGGATGTAAGTGTGATATTTGATAATGGATTGTCAGAATAAAGGATAAATGTACCTGTAAGATCCACTAAAATCTGTTTTCAGACATTTTAGTTTATGTTGGCGTAGTTTAGTTAGGAAAACATGAATACAATGAAAGAGAAATATGTTCATTTCTGAAATTTTAAAATGAGTAAAGAGTCAAAAATACAGTGAAATGTAATTCAAATTCAATAGAGAACTGTGACTCTCAAAAATGACTAGATAGATAGATAGATAGATAGACTTTTCAGTTAAAAGTGGGCTGAATAGGTGCGCTTGTCTGAATATTTATTATGATTATTAAGATAATTTGTGTCTGGAACTACAATAGTAAGTAGAAATGTGCCTTTTTTTAGTACTACAGTACAGGCTGATACTTCATGTTGATAATAAAGCATTTGTTATAAACCTACTGTGTTCCAATATAAGTCACAGCAGTTATGTGTAGCAAGAACACTTATAAACTGTTTGTAATCATAATGGTACAATCATAATCATAACCTTGCTGAAATCTCTGACATAAAGCAGAGTTGACCCTTGCCATTTGATTTCAACAATGACAGGAACATCAACAAGTTTGTGGACCGTCATATTTACTTAATATTTTGGAGAGTGATTATGCTGGTCCACCATTTCGGATAGATCTGATTCAACTACTTTCCTCCTTAGTAGAGTGTTGCATGACCTAAATTGGCTATGGGGAAAGAAGGCAGAAAGATCTTAAGATCTCAGGAATGTCATCCAGTGTTGGTTGTGTCCAGTGTGAGCAATAAAGTCTAACTAACAAGTAGGTTAACATATTTCATAAACAGACACATATATATTATTTACAATTTAAACATTTTACAAACTGTACAAACAATGCTCATAAAGCAGGCAAACAAAATGAAACAGGCAGTTAGCATTCGGAAAATAATTGCAGGTAGTCAAGGAAATGAAAATCAGTAAACATGAACAAGTGGTTAATGGATGATTAGCACTTGAAAAAAGCAAATTCATTCTGGCTGCAAACCTAATGACAAGCTTGTCCAACATGCTAAAACGTGACTCAAATTCAAGTCCCGAGGAGCAAGAACTATTGATCTTCCATACGCCTTATTTGATTTACCCAATAATTTCTGCATTATTTTAGTTAACAACAGTTAATGATGAAACTGGGATTAAGGCATTTTAGGCTTCTTACCTGTGTGTCTCTTTTAAGTCCCATGAGTCTTGGGAACCAATACACTGCCCAGGATATTTATCTTGTACAGCCTGAGGCAGGGTAAGCAACTTGTAGCACTTTTTTCCATTCATTTCTTTTTCTGTGAACTGTAAACCACTTTCATATTAGGTAGGTTTTCAAACTGGGCTTCCTAGATAATCATTTTTAGTATGAAATATTTATGCACCACTCTGGAGTTATGGGTTACACTTGACTTAAACCATACATTTCCCATAATTTCAATAGTCCAGTGTACTTACACATTCTTTAAAGCCATAATTGGTTTATGTAGTATTTAGTATGTGCTACAAAATGTACGTTTTTGCAAAAAAATTTGCTATTGGGATAGTCATTCAAACGGTGATGGGAAACACAATGCAAATAAGCACTGCAGATGTTTATTTTTTTATATCATTCAATGTCATGTGTACAATAGATACAACACAAATACAGAACAGTTTTGCTAAAATCACATAAAATATTCATGGTTGCAACTCACAAAACATTACTTTATAGAAGCTGCTGGCCTCTTGGATTTTATACAGAAACAACACAAACCAATATTCTCTGTTCACAGACACACACACCCATTCACACGGTGTAGTTTTTTTTAAGCATGGCTCTGGAGCAGTGGTGAACAATCTACTGTAGATAAGAGGTAAAACATCTTTGTACAAATCAGTCTTTTTGTCATCTATAAATATTCAACCAAATATCAGTGCAAGGTGTCCTCCATTAACCTTAAAGGACTGCCATAGATGCCACCCTTAATTTACGAATGATTTCACAAGTACCTCAAAGTTCCAGCTGTGAAGTACAATACATTTTTGGCAATTCTCAGATATTCCAACACAACAACATAGAGATGGCAAATATATGTGTTTTCTTCTTTTTCTTATTTAAAAATTTCTTCCATGCCATGTTCCTCCTCCTCAAAATGTCCTTAATTTACAGCATGTTAAGATCACTGGATTCCCCTAAACAAACACATAGCAAACACCATGGCAAAAAGCTGAAGGGAGAGAAAGAAAAACAAATATAGTTTAGCAAAGAGCTCAATGCAAATACTGTTTTAAAATACTTCTATATTCTACATTCATTTGAATAGAATTGTGAGAAGCCCATTTCATGGCAAAGCCACTTCTACTCTCTCCACTAGGTGGAGATCACAACCCATAGTTCTTGCAAAACAATTTGTCATCACATTCTAAGTAAAACCATCACATCACACTTTATTATTAAAAAGCAAAATAATAACCTTACTTCAATAGTCAGCACCACAATAGCAAGGGCTCCAGCCATATAGATGTATGTCTCAAAATAGTCCACCACTGCTGAATAACAGCCCTGTTTCAAAGAAGTACACGTTTTAATATGAGAGAACACAATGTTGTTTCAGTGGATGTTGAATTTCTAATTTATTGCAAGCTACTGATAGTAATGTAATTCCAAATTGGTTAGAATCAATGTATATATACTAACAGAAGTGTATACATGACTCAGAAACTCAAATCATTCATTTTCAGAGTTATTATGTAGACAGGGTCATATACCACACTGTCCTTTCTCCAAAAAGAACATATTTACTTCCTTTGATTTGGGTTTTCATTCTTTTTTCTACTCAATTTCTTGTTGCATATTCATTCCCATTCATTTCCTAATTTGTACTAAACTCATTGCTGACCTTGTTACGGATTGGCATAATTCCCTTGAGACACTCCTCCTTGCTCATCATCAGATGGTTCCTCTGGCAACAGACCTCTGGCACTAGTCTGCTGGGGTTCAGTCGTCTGAAGAGGCTCTGATCATCAAAGTCTTCAGCACTGTTCACCCCACAGCAATCAAACTATGAAGACACCAATACCCAGTTAAACGACTTTAATGCCATCATTGTGTTATATTTTGTACAGTATGTTATCATACTGTAGTCATAATGGCGTTCCATGTGGAGGTGAAGACATCAGTGCTATTGGTGCCTTGGTAATGTGTTTTCAGCTCCTTGGTGAAGTAATCTCTGGTGAGCTGTTGATCCACAGATAGACAGTAGTAGTGAGAGCAGAGGTATATTACTGGTGGCTTGATCATATCCAGCTATAATAATACTCACATGCTCCCGGAAAATGAATGCCAGAATGGCCACCGCCAACTCTGCCAGGAATATGATGAGTATGAGCATGAAGAACTGTGGGAGAAAAACAGGATATTAGCATCTAAATCAGATGTGAACAGGAATTCACAATATTAATATCGTTCTGGCTGATATTGATAAGCCAATTATTATTTTCATGTTATAGCCTATTTTAAAATGTATATTATTCTGTTTAAATAAATTGATCATTTATATCAGATGTGAAGTACTTCAGATGCCTAAATATGCAACAAATAAGCATTATTAGGTGCTACACACATTGCTTTTTGATGCTAAATACGGATGCACAATATTAATATAATTCTGGTGCTGATAAGCCAATTAGTTTTTTAATGTTATGGCTGATATTAAAATATATATTTTTGTCTAAATAAATACACATAAAACACCAAATTAAAAATATATGTATTTTAAATGCTACAAGTGAATTTAGGCATCACAACATTATAATGTATTATCACATATAATTAATGTATGAATCATAAGTACCAAAAAAAATTGACATTTATTTTGATATTTGCTAAAGAGTAGTGTCATTAAATGATTAGAGTTTTTAAAGATTGATTTTAAGCCAGCATTAGATGACAGCAAAAATAATCTAAAATGTACAAATGGTGGAAATGAGCATTTACAATAAATATCCAATATAGACATATAATATGAATGATATATCTAGTAATAAAAGAAAATCGCATACAAACAGTAGGAGACATTTATTTTCTCGTATGGCTCCGCAGCAGCCCAGAAATCCCAGCAGGAACAGCATCCCGCCCATGATCAAAATTGCATAGACTCCAGTAAACAGGAGAGGGTTGGCTGCCACAATCTCCCGGAAACCTGTCGGATCCACCAGCACCCAGATTCCCACCCCTAGAAGGAATGCACCTCCAAGCTAAAAGGGTAGAAAATGGCTTAGTATAACAATATATACACAAAATATGATTTTATTAAATAGCCATATTGAGCTTATCAAAGTGACTGATGCTCAGTTTTTCAATGGAACAGCACATTTTCCCACAGCATTAGTGTGGTAGAGGGAAATTCATGAGGCTGCTAAAAAACACCTTTGAGGAACAAAGGAAGTGCAGTGTGGTTCATGAGCAAAACAAAGGCACGTTGGCACAAGATCAGTGCGTTTGTTCATACTGTAAAGTTAACATTTGTTCAAAGTGATGACTTGGATCATTGAGACTCTTTTGAACTACACGTTTTGTTAGGAAAGCAAGAGTCTGCACCTGCATATCATCAGGTTTTTAATATAGTAAAGAAAACAGATACTTCCCACACCTCCAACCAAAGCAAATCATCACTCCTAGTCAGTCGAAAACAAACACAACTAGCATGAAGTCACAGTCAAGTCTAGATCTTATCAGCCTACGGTATGTAAAACAATGGCCTACACTCTTAAAAATAAATGTTCTGTATCTGCATCAATGGTTCCATGAGGAACCTTTCAAGAACATTCACCTTTTTTAGGAATGGAAAGGGGAATGGAAGAGGTTGTCTAAATTATTCAAATGTTCTTCACACTAAAAAAAACGGTTCTTTTAAGAACTGTTGAATGAAAGGTTCTTTGGGGAATGGCATCACTGCAAATCCCTCATTTGGAAGCGTCATTTTTAAGAGTGTATAATTCTCCCGTGCCGTTCAAGAGAAAGAAAGCACTTACAAAAATAAAGAAGT